TGTAATTTGATCCGATACCATCAACTTCCTCGGTAATTTAGACGATTCCAATCGGATTTCTAAACGTAGTCCAATCGTCAAATTTCCTTAACACGATCTCGCTTTGTGATTCGCTTCAGATGTGTTTCAATTCGCTCTCACTTTCACGCTATAGAAGCACATCTCTAAAATCGAGTGTAATTCGTATGACATTGTCATCTTAGATTTCCCCAGCTAGCTTCAATGTGCAGACTACAATATATGACCTTTGTGAAGTCCACGATGTTAGATAGGCATGTACACACAGATACGTATGCAAAGGTTGATCCCTTTAGCAAAGCAGATTTTATCTGTTTCCGCATATACCCGCCAATCAAGGGCGATGTGAACACGGGAGGAGGAGGGGGGGTGAGAGACGGAGGGAGGAGTTGAAGTTGAGTTATAGAGAATGTAGAGACAAATAACTATATACTTACGGTCATCGATGGTCTATACGTTTGGAAGAACGCTACGGTTGTGTTTGTGTTATATAGATACGTTTGTTTATACACTGGTGAATGCAGATTAAATATGATATATATTGTCAAAAATATATGCGGCGTTTTTGTGAATGATTGTATGGATCTGGTTTGGTGTGTGCGAGATTTTATCTAGCTTTGTGAGATGCGGAAACGACAGACTTGACTGATCATGAAGTAGATCGCTGTCATCTATAAAATCTGTGTTCGAATCCCCGTAAATTCTTCTGAAATCTATGATAATGTGTTATAGGCGTAAATTCACATTTTGTGCCTGGGGGAGAGTTTTTACCGAAATAAGGAAACTAGGAAGAGGGAGAACCAAAAAGAGGTGGAAAAGAGAGAGAATGACGAAAAGGGAATAAGAGGGAACGGGAAAAGAGAGAAATAAAGAAGGAAAGAACGAGGTAGATAGGGAGATGGGGTAGGGGGATGAAGAGAGTCTGAGGGAGCGGGAGAGGGAGAAGGAGAGGTAATATGCATGTCCACATGAAATTAAAAAATTGAATTTATTAACCCGCTCACTTCCCCGTTTCTTTCATTCTTTTTTTCTTTCGTTCTTTCTCTCTCATCCGTCTTCCTCTTTTATTCACTCTCTCACTCACTCTTTCTTCCTCTCTCATTCTTGCCATCTCTTGCTGACTTTCTTTCTCACTTTCTCACCGTTCTCTCTCGTTCTCTTTCCCTCCCCCTCTCTCTCTCGCTCGCTATATATATACATATATATATATATATATTCTCACCACCTCTTGTTGTTTCTCGTTTATCCTAGCTCCCATCCTCCCCTCTCCCAAATGAAATGGTATCACCTACGACCTCGTTAGCACGAAAAACTTTATGCAGGCAAATAGCCGTTTTTCAGCCAAAACATTTTCACCCCGAACCACAAAATATGGATATACGGCTATAATACATAATATACAATACATAATTATATACATATAATATATAGTATATAAAAAACACGTCGTTTTTCTATATTGAAGGCGCCCGTTAGCGAGGCCAATGACGTATACGTATTACGTTTTTTGAATAGCGAGTAGCGTCCAAACTGCTTCTTTCTCGCGAGATCTCGGGCACGTCACATCCATTGTTCGTTGACGTACTCCATTTCGATCCCGCGCTCTCGGTTGAACGTGCACGGAATCCTTCATTCTCCGTTATCGCCTACCAACGGCCAACGATTTACAGGTAACATAATTGAATGTGGTGTATTGATAAAACG